ACACGAGCAGAGAAAGTCATAGCACAAGCAGACTACGCAGAAGCAACCAGGGAAGTGAAGAAAAGCATTAAAGTCGACAAGCAGAAATACATGGGAGAACTAGCAACGACCGCGATAGAAGGGAATACGAAAACACTATAGGACACAACGAAGAAATTGGCAGGGAGATATAGCAAACCAGAGAGACCAGTCAAAGACAAAGAAGGAAAGATAATCACTGAGATTCAAGAACAGAGAAAAAGATGGGCAGAATACTTCGAGGAACTGCTGAATAGGCCAACTCCATTGAATCCATCGGAAATCGAGGCAGCACACACAAATAATAATATATTTCTGCAAGAGCAGGTACACATTATTTTAACAGGCATGATCTACAATTTATAACATATACTGGTTCACAGTATGCATCCCAAGCAGGGTTGTTTAGTAGTTATAATCTATAAAAGTTGATAGCAGTTCATTCGTTCAGATATAATGTGTTTTCATCAGAATAGTTTCGAAAGGGGCATAGCGTCCACGTTACATACCAGATCCAATTTCGACGAAAAGTGTATTAGGGTTTCGGTCGTGCTAAGTATTCATGTAATGCAGCTTTCAAAGTTTATAGTTGTTATAAAGTATCTTTGTGGAGCGCCTGGTTCGAACTATGACCTTGGGAAAGCGCACTCGTCGAGCTTGGACCAGATGTCAAAAGTTACATAGATCCACCCACAGAGCAAGATTCTGAAGAGAAAAAAAGCGAAACCGAGGAGCAGCAAGGCATTTGGATATGAACGATAACCAATGCTTAACATTTATTAGTGGAACAGAAGGAGGTATGATAAATTAATAGATTAGATTGATACTAGCTCATGTTGCTAGAGTGAAATGTGATCAAGGGCTCCAGAGGAGAGAATGCAGTAATAAACAACAATGAGTTGTGATATTTATCAGGGTGGAGTAGGTTCGAATGAAGGAAGGGAAGTCAAGATTGGAATGAGGAATAACAGATAGTGCATATAGAGAGTAGAGTGTTAAGTAAAATAACAACCATATCCTTTACAGTCTGTTTTGTTTTTCATCATCCGATGCCTGCCACACATTTTTCATGTAAAAGTCCGAGTTAGCATGTTATAGGTTGTCTTAATATAATAGTTAATTCAGCATAAAGAAATTAGAAACATGAGTCTGAATGGTGAGTGTAGGAGAACAACCTCAATATCACAGATCTATTGACTTGTTCTCATCCATAAAGAGCACGGTACAAACAAAATGTTCTGCCCCACAAACACGGGTGGATTGAAATCATCGCCCTCACCATCAGTGCTTGCTGGTCAGTAACTCCACTCTCCCTCTTTTTGTGATGTTAGGCTCATTTACGCTTATTTTTTGGATATATATCATACCTCACACAATGCTCTGTGTTTCACATCCTGTTGGGAAACACTATTTTTATAAGTACCATTTTACAAACTTATCAGACAGTTACAAATTATTGATTGTGGGTATGGCTTCGATGCAATGCTTTAATTGACTATCGCGTTAAGTATAGGTTGCCAATCAGAGTATTGGCATTAAGAAGGGTGTAGTGTAGGATAGCTGTTTACCATAGTAGGCGGAGAAGTTTAGATTTATATTAGTTACATGTAAGGTAAGATAACGAGTGGTGAAATAATATTAATGGCAAGCATTATGGTGTATAGAAGAGTACAACGCTGATGAAGAATAGACAAGAAGGAACTTATTCTAAATTTGTGCTGATGTTCTTTTGTCCTATCCTAACCAGTTGATGGGAAACATGTTATATGGATGTACGACCACTGGTAGTAGGCAGTCGATTGTGCGTTTCTTCTGACGTTTTAAGGTATTTTTAGGCGTCGTTTAGCGACCAAATATTGATAGGTCCAGTAAGTTACCTGTCTACTTCAATTTAAACGAATTAGGGTGGGGGAAAGTAACTAATACAACCACAGATTAAGGAAATAAGGCAATTTAGTCTATATATGTAGAGAGCCTATGATGTCTGTGTGGGACGTGGATGTGTTCGTTTGCGCCAGATCTGTGCAGGTGAACGCTTGATTAATGAGTCTTACAAACGTATGTAATTTGTCTGCCATGCGTATTTCAGAAGGAAGACTGTTCCACATTAATGACTACTTGATAAGGAAGACGTTTTCCCGAGTTTTTGATCTGTATTTTTTAATTTTGACTGTGGATACTTTGTCTCGAAGGTTGTATCCATGTGAATCTTGGTAGGGAACTATATTACATGTGGAATAAGTAAGGTTTTTAAGGAGTTTGGAACAAAGAATTAGGTTAGACCTAAGCCTTCTTTTCCAGAGGGGTTCTAGTCCTAAGATATGGCATCTGGATCCATCTTCACATAGATGTCACTTCACCAAAGTTAGGAGAAGTCAGAATGTCTATCAGACAAATCAAAATTGGGAAAGCAGCAGGACCTGATAATATACCAGCTGAAGCACTCAAGTCACACATCGAAGTAACTGAAAACATGCTCCTCATTCTATTTTAGAAGATTTGGGAGGAGGAACAAGTGTCAACGAACTGAAAAGAAGGACATATTGTTAACTTACTGAAGAAAGGAGATCTGAGCAAATCTGGGAATTACAGAGGCATCACACTGTTCTCAGTACCAGGAAACGTTTTCAGCAAAGTGTTGTTGAACCGGATGAAAGACTTAGTAGACACTTATCTCCGAGATAAACATACTGGATTACGTAAGGATCGGTCATACATAGACCAAAATACGACCCTACGGATCATTGTTGAAAAATCAGTTGAGTGGAATCCGTCACTATCCATCAACTTCCTTGATTATGAGAAAGCATTCGATAGTGTGAATAGGAAAACCCCATAGAACCTTCTTCGACATAACGGAGTATTTGGGAAGATCATCAATATCATCTGGAACTCATACTACAGACTACAGTGCAAGCATGTTCATGGAGGAGAGTTGACAGATGTGTTCAAATGAGGTCCAGAGTCAGACAAGGCTGTTTACTCTACCACTTCCTATTTCTTCTAGTGGTTGACGGAATTATGAAGGCCTCCAGATCTGAGGGAAAGCACGGAATTCAAAGGACAGCCCGGAATCAACTGGAAGGTTTGGACTTCACAGGTGACCTAGTCCTCTTATCTCATACACACGAAGAAATGCAGATGAAGACAACAAATGTAGCAGCCTCTGCATCAATAAGCCTCAACATACAAACGAAAAAACAAGATCTTCGGATACAACACAGAGAACACCAACACAATCACACTTGATGATGAAACTCTGGAAGATGTGTAATCTTTCACGTACCTGGGAAGCATCAATAATGAACAAGGACGATCGAATGCAAATGTAAATGCGAGGATTTGCAGAGCAAGGGTCGCATTCCTACAACTGAAGAACATATGGAACTCAAAATAACTGTCTGCAAGGACAAACCAGCTTCTATCTGAAGAGGAAATTAGGAAAAGACGTTGAAAGTGGATATGACATACATTGAGGAAATCACCAAACTGCATCACGATGCAAGCCTTACCTTGAAGTCCGGAAGCGAAGCAGAAGAGAGGAAGACCAAAGAACACGTTACGCCCGGAAATAGAAGCAGATATGAAAAGGATGAAAGTTAACTGGAAACAACTGGAAAGGATTGTCCAGAACAAGGCTGGATGCAGAAAACTGGTGTGCGGCCTATGCTCCTCCACGAGTGGTAACAGACATAAGTAAGTAATATCCTAAGACTGATTCTACCCTTATTTTGCTTTGACTCAATTATTTTGCTGCTCATCTTTTTCTACCTGCCTTAAATAGTACTGTTTCGGGAATTCTTAGGTATCAAATCCGTTTGAATACTTATAATAACAATGTCGCTAATTTCTGTAGAACTTAAAAGAATACTGGTTTGTCTTTAAAGACGAAGATGAAAGAAAAAAGTGAATCATGTAAATAATTCAGTGTGTTTGTGAAACAGGATAAGAATAAACGAAGATATATGTATTACAGAGTGAGTTTAAAGTAATAAAAAGAAAATAAATCATTAATGCAGTAAGACTTGATCGTAGAACAAGAGTTTGTACAGTAATAGTTTGGAATAATACAATTAATTTATTTACTAACTGCAAAGAATAATTGCCAAATATCAATTTGTACGGGTCATATATGTGTGGTATAGATAAAATGCGTCCGAAAAGTTGATTTACTTAAATGCAACACAAGATTTTACGTCTTTAATTATGAATACTCGCCAAGTGAGAAACAGTGAATACGGTCTAATCATATTACTTTGCCTGTGAATCAATGGAGCGGCTAAGTGTGCATGCTTAATAAACCTAGAGATGCTGAATAATGTTTGCTCTGTGGACTGTATGTCAGTAGTTGACGACAAATGTCTACCAAGTGGTAACTGAATGAGGACATTGAGTTACAGCTTCAGCTATAGTTTATACCCATAAAAATGAAGAAGTCTTCGTTATTAAAATATTCTTGGTCAGTATGATTAACATTGAATAAATGCACGCGGCGACCTGTCGCTTAAGTAGGTACTTTCGATGAACATTGGTTCCTACAGCGTCGCAGAAAAAAAAGCTAGTTGGCACTAGCTTTTGATAAAAACATTCTGCTACTTTCTTAATAGTACACATACGAAAAAGGCTACCATCTATGAAACCCTGTAAGACTATTGGTCATGTTAGCATTAAGTGGATTCATTTATGCTGCTTGAATAATTGATTTCTCCCTTATTTGATTGAAGATCCGCATCTTATTTCCTGATGTTTGTCTTCCTTCTCTTTTGCTTGTTGAGGATGTATATAACTGCATTATTAGGTATTTCGTTTACATTAAAAGATATGGGTTAGTCATGAAACATAACACCGTCATTTTAACACTTAACTGTATTTATCATTTTGAGTTTTGTTGTTTTTTACATCAACCGAATGCACAATGTAACTTCCTAGCATTTTGTTTAAGTTACTGTTGTCAGAATAACAGAGTTGTCAATTTTTCAAAAATGGGCACTGATACTTTGAGTCCTGTTAGAGATAATTATGCAAAACGTAAAGTAGTAGATCACTGCTGTCCAGAATTCGCCTTTAAACCTGTGGCATTCACTCGGAAAATCGATGTTGGTTCTCCACCTAAGGCTGGAGCTTTCATGCACAGAATGCTAAAATGTGACACTCAGTTTAAAATCTTTTATAATCGAGGTGACTTTCCTATTGCCTTGGAGCACGATAGTAAGGGAAACAAAATCGCATGGAAAGTGGAAATTGAAAAACTAGATTACCATCATTATTTGCCACTGTTTTTTGAAGGTCTAGCGGAAACTGAACATCCATATGAATTCTTTGCAAGGCAAGGTAAGTAAATGAGTATAATCTGAAAATAAAGGTGTCCATGATTTGCTTGAACATGGAGGAAACAAAATCCTTCCTGTCATACCTCAACTTATAATTCCAATAAAGTCTGCTCTTAACTTACGCCAGCACAAAGTTTGCTGTACGGTCCTCAAAGCTATTCAACATTTAGTCGTTTCTGGCGAAATGATTGGAGAAGCCCTTGTACCGTACTACAGACAGCTTTTACCTGTTATGAATACATTCATAAATAAAAACAAGAATTTAGGCGACGGAATTGACTATGGTCAACAAAAACGCGAGAATCTGGGTGATTTGGTCCACGAAACTTTGGAAATACTTGAAATGCATGGTGGAGAAAATGCTTTCATAAATATAAAATATATGGTACCAACTTATGAGTCATGCATGCTTCAATAATTTAAAGTATTAGAGACATATTTTGCCATTTCTGATCAACACTATTCTTTGTATTAACTGGGGGAACAAAGTTTATCAATAAGAATTGGTTCCCCAAATTTCTAATATTCAGATCATCAATATCAATACTTATGGTTTATATCAAAAACTACCGTATTTTTTCAGTCTTTTATTGTTCTCTCATAAACAATTTGTTAACTTACCAGGTGTGTTTTAAATTTTGAAGTGTTTTGTAATTAGTAAGAACAGTTTGATTTATGATAAGGCTTCATTTTTGTAGAAGAATTCACGCAAACCTTGCTCGATATATTGTATTTGTGTATATATTCTTTTATTTTAAGTTTCAGGAACAGCAGTATAATGATAACGATACTGCGGAATCTAGATTGTTCTATTTTCTGAATGAAAGATTGCCTTGTTTTATCTGTTTATCTTTTATTCGTCTGTAGATTTCTTCCTTATGATAGTTTGTGTATTTTTAGTAGTGCTTTAGGAGAATTGTAATGAAAGTATGTGCGGACGAGTGCGGAAACTTTGGTACTAGTATTCACTTTTTATTTATGAAAATCGGATATAAATTGATTAATATTGCTATCTATTACTTACTTAAGAGAAACAAGATGAAGGAAGAATATCAAAAAGCCATCAAAATCAAAGAAAAACGGTGAGAAACTAGTAAAAACGTCAATATATTTTTATGGCTTTTACCGGTGATGCATTAAGCTATAACAAATAATAACATAATATATTGGCCGTATAACAAAACAGTCAGTAAAGAACCGAGGTTTTCTGGAAAACTCACTGTTTTCTCAACAGACAACAGTTTAGAAGGTGAATTTGTGCTTAAAACTTGGCAAACTAGTAACCAAATATGAAACAAGTCAATTTATTTATGTACTAGCCACTAATACTGCTGTGTGGTTTTCTGAATAGTCAAAGTTGCATTAGGTAAATAAAGGTGATATTAGGGATCTAAAACGAAGCTCTTGACATGCGTAGTCTGTCTTTTATTAAAGAGGATGAAAGTAAATATATTACATTGTTTTATAATTACTTGTAAGCTTATTGAGACCTACCATATACTTAATAACCTTCTTACTTAATTATATTCTTAGTCCTTTTAAAATATTGCGGTGGCATGAAACTGCTATATATCAGTGTGCTCTGTTTATTTACTTAAAACACATTTTATTATGAGCTGTTTCCTGAAAAACAAGGCCTTGTAAGTTTTTCCATTGTTATTTAATCAACTGAGTTTTCTACTTGTTTCTCTCATATGCTGATTTATTCTGTAAACCCTCCTTCGTTCAGTAGTTGTTTAGGATTTTGCTTTTCTACCACTATCAAGTCTACCCTTCTCACTTTTATTCATTTTTCAGATATCTATACCGTTTATGCATAGCATAAAAACTTGAACTGGTGTAAATGTGTGTCCGATACCAGATTTGTATCTAGTTTTTTCCTAGTTAATACGTTCAGGTTTAATTGCTTGATATATCCAGAGGGTTTTTGATTCGTCAAAATGTGATGAAATAAAGTTTCAACAAAGCTTTTCCCACAATAATCTGTTCATCTTTTATACATAACATCTATTTGGTAGTTCTACAAGGCAAGAGCAGTTTTTCATCAACTTACATTTTAAACGTTCAGTTTCTGAAAACCACTTTGTCGAAAATCATAAATATTGACTACAAACAAAACGTCTAAGTCGGACAACTTCGATAAAAGTGTTTGGTAAAGATGTTCGTGACTAAGTCGTACGTGAAAACTTTACAAAAGTAATATCGAAATTACCAAACTATGAGAAGTTCACTAACATATTGATTTTCTATTTAAAATTGTCTAGCGTGAATTCATACTCTTGGGGGGAGGGTCTAAAGGACATATGAAGTGTGCTTAAAAACGGAACAATTTTAAGGTGTCTAGCAACTGAGGAAAGAAGTGAATGCCTGTGAAAATTTCACAAACGCACACCAGCAAGTAGTTTAAATTCTCTGTAATACAGTGCACTCAATAAACTGAATTGTGGTTTTTTAAAACTCTGTTTTGTTTCGGCATTGTATCAATCTTAACTGTCATTTTTTGCTACAACGTCTTGTGAGTTGTGGAGAGGTAATATTGACGTACTTCGATTTCATCCATCCATGTTTCTACATATATCTTTCACGTCTACAAGATTACTGAACCTCATAGTTATGATAGTAAAGTGACTAAAATAACTGGGGTCGCTATTATATTTTATCCAGAGAATTAATTTTCAAATTCCAACCAAACAGATTTGAGAAGACAAAACTGTAACAGCTTGACTAGATTTGTAGATATAAATTAGGGAATAAATATGTTAAGTACATAAAAAGTATTTAACCGTAATACCAATACCTAATTAAGTGTCAGATAACAAATAATCAACTGAGAATAAGAATATAGGTCATGAACTAACAAGCGGTTCTCAACTTCTGTTCTTTTGATAAAGAATATACTAACGCTTAAGTAAATACACTGACGGAAATACTTTTTCTTTAGAATTTTACATGATGGGAACTTTAAATACGTGTTGTTAATCTCACCACTGTTATTGTCAAATCATCTGCTTTTTTAAAAGCAGCGTAAATCGAATAATATTGTATACGGGGTGAATTTCGACAAATATGGGAACATTACTGCATAAAGTGCTGTCGGAATCATCTTTACGACTTTATGTAAAAACAGTAATGAGCGATTAAGGGTGTAGAAATATTTGCTGTTGTATAGGTGAATAATGATAATCTTAGGTATAAATCTGACAGTAAAGTGTAATTTTTTAATAAATGAGACTCAATCAGGAATGAAAAACTGTACGAATCAAGCCATTTAACTTAGTCATCAACTTATAAGTCAGCTCGTATTTAATTAATTTTTGGTCGATTAACAGGATGATGAAAAGTTCCAAAACAAACGTTTATATCACTGTGTAGCCAATAAACCTATATAAGGTTCAGTGATAGCACAAACACTTAAAGCGATCGCCTATAAATTACAACAACATTGTAACCAACAGTATAAATTTCTTGACTCACTTCATCCTGGTGCTTGTGCTGATGATTTTGTTTAGTATAACGATGCAAATTTAACCGCCAAAAATCAAATTTAAACAATTTGGGACACTAAAAATGACGACAGTGAGATCATACTTCATTTTTCGTAGGCATAACTGTCAATTATAAATATGTATGACTTTCTGCAGATAAACCAATTGTCATTAGTCATATAGTGAAAAAATGATGCATTAATAAAATTCTCAACCATGCGCAAAAACATTGATCATATGAGAGCAATTTTTACTCTTCTTCAGACTCAATAGTAAATGTATACTATTGACACGTCTGAAGATATAACAAATGAACTGTTAAGCTATAAATGATCTTTATAGGTTATCTAGTTACTGTCAGCGTGTGAAGAAAGTCATCTTAAACATCCTCACGTGTATTAATACGAAACATGTAGGATATGAAAAAATACGTATTATTATGCATATAGATAACAGTTAATTTAAGACATTCAATGTCAATCAACTTATTAAAGCTTTAAATACAAATTCTGATACAGTAAAATTTCTGATTCAGTCAGTTAGTATAAAGATAAGCCTATTTATCACAAATCAGTTAATAGAAACACACTATTATTACTGTAAATAATCTTTATAAAGAGTGAAGAACAGTAGAATAATTCTAAGAGTTGGATTGAGTTATCTTATGTAAATGAAGAATTGAATTCTTCAATAAATGGAAGAATAAATATGCATATATACTACTTACAAGTAGGTGGGGGTGATTTAATAAATTATTATCCTGACAAGGCGTATCATTATGGAATGATATTCCAACTGTTAAAGTATATACTTTTCTTGTTTGACTCACCCTTTGATAATTTGTTGTAAAGTATAAGCAGAGCATCAATAGTGACTGTATTTTACGGTTATCTGTATATTTATAACTGGATTGATCAATAGTTTTGCATCACGGAATTACTTTTGTGAAAAATCCATTGAAAACCAGGAATCAGTGTGCAACTGTCTCGTCCTAATATAAGAACCCCCAGCAGTGAACTTACAAGAATACATTACGGGTCAAGCAAAGAAAAATGGCACTCAGCAAACCCACAACCTTTAGATTATTGAGGAACATATATATCTTGTGAATGTTTTCATTATCTCGGTAGATGAAGGATATGAATGCTCTTCGTCTGTGTGAGATAGATAGTTCTTCACCGCATTTACTTCATTAGTAATCATCAATTTTTGTGTGAGGGATGAGATACCGCCTACACACATAAAACGAGCCAGGTGGTTTTCTTGAGGCACAATCTCCCATGTCTATGACAAACATGTCTAATTCACCAGATAGTAAATTAGCATCTAGATAAGTAATCCTAAGCTATGTGGTAATTAAATAGATCATCACGTCTTCTATTCCTTTGTTATTCTGGAGTCTATGTGTACTAGTGGTGTGAAATCAGGGTTTTCTAGCCCTCCTACAGAAAACGTTTTGTATCCAACATCCCAGTTTAAGTATCGAAAATCCATTCAAACTCTCATCATTTTGTTTGGAAAACCCCTATCACACAAGGGCAAAGAGTTAGACTTGATCCCATGTAAGAGGCTGTGAACTTTATTTTTTGTGAGAACATAATGAGAGGGAGATAGACTCTTTCCACCAGTCATACCAGGCCACCAGAAGGAAAAAGATATCCAAATTGAACAGCTGTAATGTTAAGACTGTTTGAAAAAAAACGAACTGACGATAGAAATAAGTGAATTGATTGCTTACTGTTAATGAACCCTTTGTTCAATGTTGAAACTTCATGTAATTTTAGGGTTTTCCATTTATTTATCATGATATTAGCCTGGCTTGTTTTAGAACTCAGTAGTAGTTATCAGGAGTCAATAATACTTATACTTTTGAAATTATTTCAATTCGGCAAACTTATAACACTAAGTAATACCATGTTTTATTTTAGATTCA